CTGATAGGTATACCAGCCTTGTAAAATTGGTCATGGAGTGACCAACGTCGTCGCTATAATCAACCCGAAATCTTTTAAAAGTTAAGTATGAACACTTTGAAACTTGCGGATAGATAATTTGTTGTGGCATATAATTACAAATGCTCAATCTTGGTAAAAAAAGTTTTAAAAAAAAATATGCTTTAGAAATGAATTGAGCAGAAATCATATAATTTCCATGACCGCTATCAAAATGCATGCACATAATTTGATTCTTTCTGCGGCTTAACATTGACACTACAGCTTAAAGAGCTGTCATTGCTCATCCCCTGAACAACGGGGGGAGTGAGGGGAGGGATAGGTGGAGGAGGATTCTCGGAGGACTGTAGAACATTTAGGGCCAATTAACTTGCCAGTGAGGAGGGATCATGGATCATAGGAAGATTAAAGAGTCCTATGGGGAAATCAGGTTATTTTTATCTTCACTCGTCTAAACTCCAATTTGTTTTTGTTATATATAACAAGAGATCGGAATTTCTTTAAAGAATAGTAACATCTATCATCCTTCATTCACTTCACAAATAATTATCATTTCAATGACTCTTGATTTGGGTGCAAATAAAAACACAGCAAAACTCCTTATAACTAGATAGATATGTTATGCACTGATATACGGCGCTGGTTCTGTGTTGGAAAAAATGACCTTAGTCTTCACGACACGATGTCGTAAACACCAAGGTCCATTCAACGATGAAACAAATGAGTAGGGAATCAATAAATGCAGACATACGAAAGGACGTCGACAGCAAATCTCCATCAACTCGGAGGAAATAAAAAAATGAATTGCTCCTCTATTTCAGACCACATTCCGTTATGACGCGCATTATTGGAAAAATTGCTATGTATAGCGAGAGAGGTTCATCAGATCCAAAAAACATTAGTCTTAACGACCGAATCAAACAATTTCCAGGAGAAAGTTTGTGTCTCCGAAACGGTAAACTGTTTTGTGATGCTTGCAAAGAGCTTCTAAGCTCTAAAAAAGCATACTTCAAAATCATGTTGCCTCCTGAAAGCACGACTTAGACAAGACAATACACAGAGCAAGGACTACACGCTGCCAGTTGAGGAGAGAGCATACCGTTTACAGGTGGTAGAGGAGTTTCTCAAAGCTGAAATCCCTTTACGAAAGACAGAAAAACTCCGACCGCTCCTTAGAAAGCAAGGCTATCGTCTTAGTCATAATTCTAACATGAAGGAGTACATTCAAATCATATACAAGCAAGAGATTCAGAGGATTAAAGCGGAAATTCTCCCAGAACCATGTGATGGCAGTGGCGGGGAATTTACAAGGGATCTTTCCATTAACTTTGATAGAAGCACGAGACAGGGAGAGGCGATCGTGATCGCGGTCCGTTTTGTCAAGGATGATTGGTGTATTGTACAACGCCTGATCATAATTGATGTTTGTGTCAAATCAGTAAAGGCTGACGGGCTTGCCTTAGTTCTCAACAAATGTTTATCTGTTGAGTATAGTGTGAGAGCAGACTCATTGATGGCGGCCACAAGAGACGGCGCCAGCGTAAACCAAGCAGCCTTAAATCGCATCCAGTTCATATTCCCTAAGACATTCAATGTGGTTTGTTTTACTCACACCCTGGATAATGTCGCCAATCACTTTGGTATCCTGGACTTAAGTGAGTTTGGCAATCTGTGGATCTGCCTATTTGGGCACAGCCTCAAAGCGAGGCTTATTTGGCAGGAACAGACCGGACTTAAATCGAAATTTATATTTAACTAAGCCACACCAGTGTGCCAAGATCTAGCGAATGGGAAACAAGATATTTTTAGAATGAAAACCACTTTTATTTCAACCTCTTGAACATCGTGGAGAAAGCAGTGCCTCACATTTTACAATCTTCAGCAAAAGACTGAAAGTACAAAATACAGAGTTATTTAAGAAAAAAATGTTATAGAAAAATTATTTCATTCAATGAATATCGTGGATTTTCCTGCTACCATACAAGTTGGCAAGATATAGCGCCGACAGACAACGACTGAAATGGTCAAGCGAAAGAAAAATTTCAAGCGTTCCGGTATTTAAACAAGATCTACAAAAAATCGGTAAGCGCTTTACGGTTATAAAAAATTGTATTCAAATTATAATGATTAAGACTAGAATTTCACATTGAACTCGTACGAAAAATAGCTCAAGAAAGCTCAAAAGTCACCATTTTAACTTTTTTTCTTTCAGAGAGTCGCTTATTCATGTTATGTTGGACTGAAAGTTTATGGAAATATTTACTGGAGAATTATTAAAAGGTACTCCAGTAAACATTCCGCCAACTGCCCCTCCATCAGGTAAATAGAACGACTGGCACTGCCGTCACGGTTACTCGTATGTGCTGTGTTGCTTGGTGGGGCTGACCAGTTGAGAACAATCTCCCGTAAAGCATGACTTGAATCGCTGTTGATAGTTGTTGTGCTTGGGTTGAAACCGGCCAACTTATTCGATATAAGCCGCTGTTTTTCCAGAAGATTGAGGCTGTAGCTGGATATGGATTCCGGATTGGCGTGGCCAGGCAGCTCTGAGATATGAGATCTCCAGTGGGTCGAAATCATCACGGAGCACTTGGATGATTGTTTTGCGACCACTCGAATTTGTGAATTTGCAGTCAAGGGGGGGGGATAGACGCAATACTCTGCATTTGCTTTCCCAATGTATTTCTACCAATTGGAACCACCTTGTACCAGATATTGAATTTTGGGCTGTCAACTGGACTTGGGTAGAAGTTTCCAGGAACGTTACCACCCTTCGGACGATGGCCAACGTACTCGATAAATGCTCTGTGCGGATCTCGCTCTCCACCAACCGTCCTCCAAATCTTGTTGTTATAATTTCTCACCCGTTTTGTCGCAGTCGGGTCGTCTCCATGGCGGTTCTTGGTTTGTCGCTCTTTATCCTCGATATACTGCTCTGTCACGGTGAAATCACTTAGATGACAGTCATGCTGTTTTTAAATCCTCTCATTCCTAAGTGCGTGACATTGTCCCACAATATTAGACGGAGAAGAGAGCAAGGATTTTGAAGGCCGATTGCACTCAGCGACCACATATTTCCAGTATCTTCTGTTTCAACTGATTGAGCGGCATTTGGTTCGTTGCCAAGACCTCTTTGCTTCAAATCTTTTTTCTTCATGGATAGTATTGTTGAAACTTCTTCGAACTCAGTGGCTGAGAAGTTTTCGAGGTCGAAGTTGCCTACTGCCGATGGACATGGACGCTCCAGAAAGTACCATCGTAAACCATTGCGGCAAGTTTGTAATGTTCCTGGTTCATATTCTTTGCCTTTGTTTTCTTTTGCCGTCTGCCTTATTTCTAGAAAAAAGTGTTTAAGAAGCTGCGGTACTTCTTGCTTTGAAATTGCATCGAGATTAATTTGTTTGCCGTGTTTCTCCTTGAACCAAGACTGCAAACGGCGTACGGATGTACTTGTACGTTTTTTAGTGTTTTTTGAAACCATATCGTCCTTAAAAGAGACCAGTTCGTAACCTTTATAGGTTACAATGGTTTGGTTTTCCGGAATGGATGTTTTGACTCTTTTCGGCATTGATACCTGTTTGTTTTCTTTCGCGATGCTTGTTTGGTTTTCCTCGGCAAGATCTGTCGTTTGGCTTTCCTCCCTCGTCTTTGCCATTTTGTTTTTTCCACAATGCGCTTTCTCGTAATTTTGCGTGTGGGGGGTTTACTCAAATTTTCCAACGATTTAAATTTCAATTCAAAATTTGGCAGACATTCGTTTTCTGTAAATTTGTTCATTTCCAAGGTGATATTTTTCGTAGCATGAGTTGCATTTTTTTTTTCACGATAGCAACAATTTTTGCTCGCGACCCACGTCACCAATATTCCTTCATGCACAAGTGCAATTCTACGCTAAATGCCCTCTCTTCAATACCTAATCAGAACGCGAGTTTAGCTATTTGATTCTAGCTAAACAAATAGGGTACAAGAGAGATGAACTCCCGTGGAGATGGCCAACATTTTCTGAAAAGAAAGTCGCAATTGATGGTAGCTTGGGTGGTTGACGATTAAGTTTTTCCTATTTTATTCGACAGTTAACATTTAGATTTTAACTCCATTGAGACCGTCCTTTAATCATATTGAACGTTAGCTACTCAGTTGCTTTCTAACGCTAAAAATAAAAATGGGGACTTCAATGATTTTCTCATTTCGTTTAGGTGGAAAGAAGTCTGCTGTTTTGCTAATGTTAGGTTATTAGCATCCGTGAATTTCCCGTAAATAAATAATATGAGTTTCTTGAAAGAGAAAAGTAACCACGGGAAAAAAATGGTCGGAAACTCTTTAGCAAATCAATGATATCGATAGTATGTGCAAGGCACAGGTTCGAATTCCGTCGGAGTCTGAATTTTTTCAGGTGTCTTTCATCACAAGTTGTTATTAAAGTTATCTAGGAAAAAATAATCTAAAATTTGCCTCGTTACAAACGAGCGGCATCGATTCTCAGTTGGTAGTAGCGCTCAAATAGCGTAAGGAGACACAGGCGCGTTTTCCGACGGAACCTGAATTTTTTTTATGCAATTGCTTAATGATTTGCTGTCCTCCTGTGAGTTCCATTTCTCTTTCTTTATTTTCAACTGAGGGTCTAATGATATTTATCTCGATACAAATTGTTAGTTCAATTTTGGTTGCTAGTATCCGCGTTCGCTTCTGTTAAGTTTCTCGTCTTTCGCTGGCTTGCTCTTCGTTTCTTTCTTTCATTTTATATCATTATACTCTCAAAATCCTTTTAATCACTCACTGTAACAATATAGAGGGTAAACCTAACAAGAAAACATGATGCGACAGCGATACAATAAAGGCTAATGATACCCGGATCATTAAAAATAGATGTCCTTTCATGCATCTTGGATCTCAGTTTGGAATGTGTCGTGATACGTACCACGTATTCCTCAAAAATTGCATGGGTTAAACTTATTGTTATCTTTTAAATGGTTTTTTTTCTTTCACTGCACAAAGATATATCCAATGGCTTTGATATGCTTCTCTCCATTATCTGGACCCCTCGGGTTCGCCTCGTTTCCGCAAGTGTTCGAGTCATCAGGTCTACCTTCCGAACCAAATCCAATCCTTGAGTTACATGAGTTGCATTCGTTTTCAAAGTTGCCAACAATACCAATCCTTGCTTTGGAATATCTGGCAGTGTCACCACCTGCATTAAACCCTTCCTTGTTGCAGTTGAGTTGCAAAGAGGCCCTTGAACCAATCAGTGACTTCCATGTTTGACGACCCAAAGGAATGGCACGGAATTCTCCGTCAGCAATGAGAGAGTGCAGAGAGTCACCCTCTTTGTTGATGACAGTGAACCTGAGCTGTTGTTCGATCTTCATACCGAGACAGATCTTGGTGAAAGACGTGTTCCAGTAGGTAGGTAGCTTTGATTCCTGCTCGTCAAAACCAGTCTTGCCTCCTACTTGGTTGAATTCCTCATAATCACTCCAGTAAGGGGAACTATAGCGAAAGGTTGCCTGTGGTAAAAAACAAGTCATCTGTTTATTTCTTCAAGAACGTTGGATACATCAAGCAATTTACACCTAGTTCGCACGTCAAAGAGATACCTTGTCGCTACGCAACATGTTTAGCATGTCGCTTGCGCAAGATGCTATCGAATTTTTTTGTCTGTTAAGGAATAAAGTGTCGTTGTCAGTGGCATTTCTATTTCAGCTTGCTACACAATATCAGATGGATCATAAAAGTTTTGTGAGATCAGAATTTCTTAGATAAATTGATGATATACAATCTGCTTTGACGGTGTATGAGAATATTACAAAGGGAAACTGTGTTTCTTTTTTTTTTTTTCACGCAAAAAAAATTATGTTAAACATAAAATTGATCAGATTGAACGTCTTTACGTGCACAGAAGCTAGGCACTCCCTAATATTGGAAATATTCCAACAATCGAACAATCAATCCCGAGCTATTTTATTTTTCGCTGGTATAGAGATTACACATTTCGATCATGTTCGAAACTATCTTGACCACTTTAGGGGTACCATATATATAAATATTTTAAGAAATCAAGTTTTTGGAATATGCACCTTACGGCCGTCAATCTTCAAAACCGGCGTCCATCCACCATCTCCACATCCAAAATCACCCATGTGACAGAGAACAGAGACTGGTTTAGAGTCAACAATAAGGGTAACCACACTACTAATATCGGCGCTATTTTATGAGAAACAATAACAGATATGACAGTCATAGATATAATTTTGTTAGAAACAATAATCAATTATTATCATTGCGATTAATAAAAAGATAAAATAATAATCATGATGATGACTTCATGATCATAGTGACACACAATGTGATTCTGACTTTGATCGAGATGACAATGGTAATGGTATATAGTTATTTACGATGAATGGATAAATAAATGGATAAAAAATGGTAGTGAAAACACATGAACAAGTAGACAGATCTATTATTTTGTAGTGTGTGGTCGATAGGTGAACGTGTATTGTTTAACCAAATGCGTCATCAATAATTAGGAAGTGTTGCATAAATCGACCTCCGCTTGACACCAGAATATGCTCGGGTACCTTCTCCACGAAGCAAAAAGCTTTTAAAGGGCGAAGAAGTTTTGTATCTGCTTACGTTACAGAAAGGAAATCTACCTCTCGGCTTAAACCAACTTCAAAAGGAAATATTTGAAGTAAGGTCATGACTAAATCTGATCAACCGTTTTTACTTACATGCCATTTTCATGGATCTCGTTACACGATGTAACCCCTAAAAATAGTTGAAAGATACATTCGATTTAGAGGAGGAACAGTTGGGTTCCTTTCTGTAAAATCTTAATCTTTTGTTTACACATTTTCTTCGTAATATCGCAGTTTCAGTCTTCGGTTTCCAGCCTGGAACGATTTATTTTTTACTTTATGCATGGCTGTATACTTCAAGCCCTTCCATAAAAGTTAGGTAAAGGAGTCGCCTTGTTATTCATAGTATTCTTCATGTATTCAGCTTTTTAAATTGATTTATTTTCGCGAAATTTGTTATCCGCTTTCATTTATTCGTTTATTTTCAATCCCCTAAAGTAGTGGTGCTGTTATCCGAGAACAGTTTGCTTGCAGTTTGCTATTTACTTTTATCTCAAAGTAGTTCGAATTAATTTGATTGCCTCTTTTTTTTTTTTGAGTTAAACAGCCCAAAATTAGGAGGTGCCATTACCTCCGTAGAAGACTCTCTCTTCTTAATTGTGCGCGTAGTTACGATTACCTTTGCACTCTCGCCCATTCCCAATATATCCAGGTTTACATTTACAGTTGTGCGACTCCTTGGTTTTGTTGCAAAAGGCATTAGGACTGCAGTTGTGTGAACCTTCGACACACTCATCAATGTCTGAAAACGCAAAACAGGCAAAAAACCGAACAAAAATAAAAAACAAACAAACAAACAAACAAATAAGAACAGAATAAGCAACGAAACGAATTGAAGCAAAAACAACAGCAACAAAGAGCATTCAAAGAGATGAATTCGTGAGTCAGCCTGCAGCCCACATTATATCGACAAGTTCACCTTTCAATATCTATTTTAATAAGTTAATTTTCTTGTTTATTTTTACTTGGTCAGAGTGATAGTGTAAGTGACACAGAAACACCTTTAAAGGAGCCCTTGTCCATAAGACCTTTGTTTTTTCTGCTGAATCGAAGGTCTCAAGAAATCGACAAAAAGGTTTAACGATTACCTGTTGAGTTCCTCAAACCCACAAATGCAGCAGGATACAGAGAACAGTTAGCTGTGTGGGTACCATCATTTTGATAGGGGTCTTTGTTCTTGCAATGATTTTCAGTTGAAGTGTTCTCGCGAAACAAAGATAAAAAATTAAAGAATCATCGAAAGTATAACACAGTGAGCTCCATACACTGTGCGAAGTACGTATAATTAAGGGAACACCTATATTGTTCTTGCGATATTTTTTTATGACACAGTAATGCAATGAGTATTAGTTTCAAAAGGCCCTATTTCTGAACAGGTAAGCCACAGTTGACGAGGGTAAATAAGAAAAATAAGTGAATAAATCATTAGCTGAGCATTAGATAAATAGTTAAATAAATGATTAATTAAAATTGCAAACGGATTATGAATAAGAGGAAAAAAACCGAAAAAAAAATTATACTTGGACAACAGTTCTATCTAGAAGCAAGGAAATGTCTGGAAGAAATGATCATGTAATTACACATCAGAGAAGCTATCATTTCACTTCTTCTGAACTATTTTGCTTTATACATGGCATTTCTCCATTAAAATGTCGGCTGATATCAAACGAGAGGGAAACCAATTCTTACCACAATGTAAAAGTAATGCCAACTTTTGTCTTGTCTGAATTCCTTGGGGTCGCTGTACTTATCAGATGACAGTAACTCGCACCATAGTTTCCCTTTAGTAGCAAGGTTCACAGAGAAACATGAAGGATGTTGAAGGCATTTAAAGGCACATTCAAAGTCGTTGTACACCAAAAATATTCCAACTCTGGGCACATTCAAATAATGGAACTTGTTCATAGAAAACAGACTGTATCTTGCCTCTTTGTCTCGTTGCATGAAAGTGTTGGTTCCTAGTAAGTGGGTCAGTCAAACATGATATTAAGCAGATGGTGACTATTTTGCAAGTCACACTATTCTTGAAGAAGCTTACCAAATATATTTTATTACTTCTTACTTGTGATCTATTGGAGGACAGGCGAATAGATAGTGTCACCACCGACCATTTTGCTTCTTTATTACATAGAACAAATAGATTCAATGTCGCCGTGGGTCCGTTCAATAGTAGATTTAATGACACATCAGTGATTCACTCAGTTGCACCTCGTGTAGTGCATGCTATGATTTGTTATTGAAAAGATGCACGGCAACATGGAATCCATTTTTTAAAGCAGAGCAAGTTAAAGGAAGGGAGACATGAACAGAATAAAGGGCACCGAACGCGTCTAGAGAAATTCGCTAATGATTTGCAATGTTTGCAAGAGGTTTTGCATGTTTTCGATCTATTAATAGGTACGACTTAATAAAATCATAATTTTCCACTTCAGGAACGTCTCAAATAATAAACACAACGTATAGTAGGAACTAATGTTGTAGAGAAAATAGAGCACTCAAATCCATGCGGTCCCTGCAGTTCATGCAGTTGTCTTAAGCGCCTTTCATGTCCCCACGACACTTTTTTTAATGCTTAGAATGCCGCTATTTTTCTTAGAGTGATTACTAGTGTTTCCAAATTCCTAAATAATTACATAACCCGTCCGTGCTAAACTCAGATAAATTGTAACAGGGAGAGCAACTTCAAGCAGAAGAGTCTGTTATGAAAATTATTACAATAGGATTCTGCTTCTAGACAACTGATATGATAAATGATGCGACAAGATTTCAGTTGGGAGGTAAAGTTATCAATCCATTAGGGCGATTTACTTTGTAATGCTTGACTGAACGAGCAATGTGGAGAAACTCATTAAACTCGCAATACTCCCCTAGGTTATTAAGGGGCAGAGATCCATCGCTAATTTCCATATGCCTATACCAGGGATATACATCAACTGGAATTGGAAAAAACTGAGAGAATTTTACAAGACTTGCTTTGACTCTTCTTTAACGCTTCACAACACTCGCGAATTTAAGTCAACGTAAAATTCCCAATGCAAGTCTCCGATAAAAATTCTGCACATACAATCCTGATTGTAAATCTCGAATTTGAATGTTGCATGAAGAGTTTGAATCTCAAATGTAAATATCAAATGCAAGTACTCTTTGTAAATATTGAATGTTAATCAAAATTACAGCTTCAAAGCTAGTATTTTTTAAATAGTAATGGTTATGCGAACAATAAATCAGGTCTCGGTCGTTCGAAGGGCGACGAACAATATCCAAGGGATTAATAATGCAAAAGTGTTTTTAAAGAATGGAAATAAGTGATTGTAATAGTCCAGTGAAAGTACTTGAGTGAGTGATCTCGTTTTAGAGGATGTGAGCATCAATGAAATACCAGCGGCCACCTATCGTTCTGGCCATATCCTATGATTCTATGTAAAATTACTGAATTCTTGTTCTTATTATGTCGTATGATCTTAAGTAAAGTTACTGACAACCAGCTGACAAGGCACAAAGTCTGATATTTTTTTCGAACTTTCTAGAAACTTTCAATAAGACAATGGAAAGACATGAAATGTGTGGACTCATGTGTAGATCTGTGTTAAGTTCATCATTTGCTCACTTGACCCAGTTCGATAACACTATTCACTAGATATAGCTATCCGGTGGATAGTGCAATACATTTTGTTAACACTTGTCTACTGGATAGCGATTAAGCACAGAAGTGATGGTCTGTGGTAATTTTACTGCGTTCATGACGAGGCGATCTTCCCTTGCAAATAGTGAAATTTTCACTTAATTTGAATTTTAAACAAAAATTGTGAATTTTGCATTCGACAATTCAACAATTTTGTGTGACAGTTTATATAGCTGAGGTGCTTTCTGACGTTCAATATCTGTGCTTCTTATCAAACTGCACAAAGAGGAGTGCAAATAACGTGCAAATAGAGTACAAATATCTTGCGATATTGTACGCTTTGGACAGTTGGTCATTAATTTCTGTATTGTTGAAAAGACCTGTTGGCTGCGCGCGCTACGCTTGTCTATTCGCTTTGATTTTACCGCATTGTGAGAAACGAGCAGAAAGAATTAGCAGAAAGGAAAAATAGCAGTTGGATAATAAATAACTTATTACACGTTTTGGTGTGTAGCATCGCTGAGTATTACGGCAGACCTTATAAAAACACTAACCGATACTACACACAAAAACGTCTAATAAGATATATATATCTAATAAAAGGAATCCAAACTTATTGTTATTGCTTATAAAAAGAGATTGAGAAACTCAAAACTTGCGGCCGAAACATCTGCAAAACACTTGGGTGGATGAAATTTGTTTTGAATTACCATCTAACATAGAAAAGTTTGGTGCTAAAAACTGCTTGTTTAGAAAATTTATTTTCCTTAATTTTCACCATATAATTTGTAAAAGACTCCGCATTAGAGGCGATAAATTCACAGGAAAGTTTATCATTAAAACGGACATATATCACTTCTAATTATAACAAGGCTAGGTTTTTCATCACTTCATTTTCTCAGCCTTAATTCTTTTAATTCTTAATTCTCTTGTTTCTAAAATACACAGTCTATGCTCAAACATCTTGGCGCCCAGACATCAATTATTCAAAACTCGAAGCGATTGTGATTATATTTGTAATTTTCGTCCTTTTTTTATTTAAAACTTGGCCAATTCAAGCCCTCTCTTTTTTCCTCAAGAGACTTAGTCTGCTTTGCGGTCCTTTTGATATACTACTACGGCCTTTCATTGGCTGTGAAAATGCCAAACGCGACTATGTATCAGAAGACGATGTCAACGTGGTTTTACATCGTTTCTATTTATACCAGTGAATATTATGTTAGATAAATTTCATCGGAGAAGAACCAAAGAAAAAAGATAATAGCGATAAAAAAGAACCAAATGGATGCGACAATTCGCAGATGATTCCGGATTGAGATCCGAACAAACTTTTCAAACATGTGACAAATTTCAAATTGTGAAAATAATATCTTTATGGGTTAGTAACGACTCAAAATAAAATGTGGGTTTATCAATAGTGATGTGTGGAACCTACGAAGAGTTATACTAAAACTTACCTTGTGATCCAAGAGCCGAGTATATGAGGCAAAACTCCCATAGAAGAATGCATTTTAACACGGGATTCGTAACCCATAGCTTAGCCGGAAGAGTCTTACGCTGTTCAGTATTGAATTTAAACTTCTTAAACGTGCGCTTTCGATTCATATCTTGTAGAGTTCTTTCTTAGATCACGACCACCGTGGACGAATTTTTTTTCCTTTTCTTTTCTTTTTGATTATTTCATTTTTGTTTCATTGTTGGCTTTTTTTCCCCTTTAGCTGCTACTGACGTCCTGTTCTCAAAAAAAATATTGATGACTGTCCTCTCGAGAGACTTTAATTACTTAGCTTATTTCTGATAAAGGTAGGGTGTTGAAATTGGCAAAAGTTGTAAATTTAATATGTTCAAATATTCATCATTTTGAAGGCAAATGACACGGCAGTCATTAACAAACACCATTCATCCCAAAGGTAACAGTTTCTAGCCAAAATAAAGCTGTACTATCTGTAGAGGATAACCGACAAAGTGAATTAAACAACAAAATGCGAAAATAGAATGTCACGTGCGTCTTGCGTGTTCTCTCTCGTGTAAAGCCTCTGAACATGCACAGTTGCCTACCTTGTCGTGTCAAAATGTTTAGAAATGTAAAACTTTCGGCGGCATTTTTTCCCGCTTTCGCTCGGTAAATTTTTTTCACTTTTGGCATGTTGTCTTCGCTTCACCCGCAATGTCTTGAGAGCGATTTTTAAAAAATTCTGTCAACAGAGAAAAAATTAAGAATGAATTCCAAAACGGGGGGATTTTCACAAAAAGATTTCTGACAGAATTTTATTTAAGCTGGCTCTCAGGTAGAATGCATAATTATAAGACTGTATGCAAAATTTAAACACAATTTACCGTGGAATTTTCGAGAAAATTGAACATTTGTCTGTTCGTGGGCCTTTCTCTAAAAGCCCTTCGTGTTGCTATGGCAACGCTGACGACGATACTTCTACAACTAATAGATGGGGCGTTATTAACTTGAAATTTGATGATGATCCGCTGAGCCTAACTTAAGTTGTTTTGGTCCTAAATACACTAAATAGGCAAAAAAAAAACTGTTTCGAGCCACCTTAACTGCATATCTACGTCTTCCTCTTTGTTTTGTTTTATTTGATTGTTTTGTTTTTGCGACGAGAGACTTTCGGGAAGAAACAGGGTGTTCTTAATACTTTCAAGACATCAAAGATTTAGGGTAAAAGCTAGAATGATATCAGAAATGTATTGTGTTCTTAATGACTGCTTACCCTACAACTATTTTTCTGTTCTAATCTTTGGAGACAAAGATGGTTGTTAGAGAACCAAATACTCTATTTCCTCTAATAACCACACATAGGCGCCCTCCCCCAAATAGTGGCCCACCACTAAGGCCAAAATGATAAATACGTGCACCCTCCAATAAGTGCCCCCTCCCTCTTCACTTTCTCAAACAAATTAGAGGGGATGCAAAAAGAAACCTGCTTGTATTGCCAGTATATTAATAAATTTTAAATAACGCCCGGGCACTTATTCGAGGAAATAGTGTATACCGCAATTACGTTCCAACATTGGACTTGCACCACTCTTCAGGTGAGGAAAGATAATGAAGAAATATGTAGCATATTACGATCGAAAGACGAGAAAATTGGAAAAAAAATTTACATAAAGGATACATATTGTTGATGTGATTTCTTTAGCTTTGTATCTCCCTCTGGTGATTTCACTGGACACCTACGCTTTTGGCTTCAAAAATATTAAGTGCTTAATTGGCTACTGTTATTATTTTTAGAAACTTTATGAAGTTGTCACGGTAAGAGCGGAAAATGAAACTTTGAGAGAACTGTAACGCTAACGAGAATATGACCACAAACAAATGTG